TATGTGTGGCAATACGCCTGGGAGGTGCTCTTTGTGCCATGCATCATGGCATAATGTGTGTTCATCATGATGCATGGTCATATTTTTGCCATTATAAGTTTGCAAAATGAAGCAAAAAATAGAGGAAAACAATGGAATACGAGAGAGCAGCAGGAGAGCAGTGCTAGGGCTAAGGAAATTTGAATATTAGGAGTATTTTAGAGCTCCTAAACATCAAAGGTAAGGTTCCTTATTTAAATCTTTCTCTCGTTTTTCATTTTCTCGATGGTAGAAGTTAAGGTTTGGTTAATAATGGTGATTTTTGGTCTATAGAGGCTATAGGTCCAAACCTATTGACTTATATAGAGTTAATGGGAGTAGATTGAGCTAAGTAAACTTGGTATTTATGATTATATGAGGATTAGTGGTTGAAAGACATTAAATGTCCAAAATTCCTTATAAATTTATTGGTTAGGAACAATGTGGTCCCAATAATGATCATCAAAGAGCTCAGTAATGTTAATGAGGGTTAAAGAAAGGTAAGAAATACTGTGGGTATTTTTATATGAGAAAAAAATGAATCTTGAGCATTAAGAAGTGTTGAAATATTAGTGACAATTAGCCTAAATATGGATATTAATAATTTGCATTGTAAATACTTGTAAAGTGACTATTATTGGCACCATTCAAGCTTCTTGAAAGCTTTGGGAGTGAGTATTTGAGAGGTGAAACTTTTAACCTCTTAAAGGTTTAAGGTAACCGGGAGAATTCTATCTCGTACTTCTGTGTGTTAATTAGTTTGTTGAATAATATTTGATAATTGAATTGTATGAAATTGGTTAAAATGAAAATGTGGCTTGCTTTGTTTGAAAAGCCCACTATGAAGTGGTGATTTGATGTAGTTCAATGATTTTAAAATTGTAAAGTTCAATGATTGTTAAAATGTGTGGTACTATAATTATGAAAATAGGAGTTCAATAATTTGAGTTGATAAAAGTTCAATGATTTTGAAATGTATGAAGTTCAATGATTATGAATGTGTGAGGTACAATGATTTTAAAATTTAAAGTTCAATGACTTGTTTGAATTAGAGTTCAATGATTTGTAAGATGATAGAGTTCAATGAAATTGATTATGTGGAGTTCTATGAATTATGTTAAATGTGAATTATTGTATGAATATGCATTGCATGATCTTAAGAGGCGGGAATTCGCCTAAGAAGAGGAGTAGAGAATTAAATTCACATGGTAGGGCTCCCATTCAAGTGATGGCTTACCGAATTGATTATATTCATATTGTCCCACTTGTTCAACGAGGGACTATCCTACTAGTTTAACGAGGGACTCGAACCTACCTAGCTATCCATTAATTCAATGAGGAAGCTAGTTTAGGAAGTATAACACCCCATAGGTGAGAAATAGGAGAAACTATGTTTCACAAGTGAGTTAGGTGAGCTTTGACTGGGTAATCCCCTCACAAATATTTAAGCTAGGAAAGTCATAGATTATAGACTGTTCCATTATGTTATAACCTACGATTTCATGTCAGAGGAGTAAGGAAGATATAAGAGAGGTGTGATCATGTATATAATGAGTAAGGGCATATGGTTGTCTGTATTGTGACCTTAATGAGGATACTCATGAATTGAGTTTTAATCCCTTTTGAGTATATGTCATTTGATTGTGACTAACTTTTTCTACATAAAAATAATTAAAAAGTATTATTTCACAAGTATGTACTATTACACCTGGAAAAGTGAATTTATGCTCTTGAATGTTTTACATGATTTGGCAGAATTGATTGTATTGCCACTTACATTTAAATTAATTAACATGCATTAGTGTAAATTAGTTGGACTTTGGTTACTAAGGTTGTACTCACCTCAATATCTTCAATATTACAAAAAATAGCTCAAGAGGATCGAAAAGAGGAAAGCAATCAGATGCTTAGGATTGTGATTCTATTTTAGTAGGCCTCTTTATTTTTAAGTCATTATGTGTACTTGACAATTTCAATTGCCAACTAGAATTATTTCATTTTGATCCTTACTTGTATTATGTGCTTTGTGAATTATAAGTGTATTTTGGGCCTAAAGGAGTGAAATTATAAAATGTAATAATATGATAGGGCCAAAATACTACTACAAGTAAGAGTTTAGCATAATATGTGTTGAATATGAAATATTTGATGAAAAGTAATTGGAACTCTCCCCTTATATGTTTTTAAAATTAAGGGGTTGAGTAGTGAAATCTTGATCTAAAAGTGTTTAATGTGATATGGTGCTATTTACGAGTTAGTTTTGATGTTTTGCATGTAGCCTAATTGATGTCAATGGCTATTGACTTTTGGTGATAGAGTTGGACATTTAGTTTTTTAAAAAATGTTAAAAAAGTGTAAGTCTTGAAAAGAATCTCCAAATTTTGATTATATAATAATATGATTATGAAATCAAAGCCATTAGTTAGAGTTTGGAAAAAATTTTTCATAAACACCTAGTCTCGTCAATCAGACATCGGATGGAGAATTGAGACATGTCGGAAGTTGCCCTAAAAGTTGTCAAATTAACAGCAAAATTTACTATCAAAAATTGTGCAAATGCGCTGCAACTCATGGCATAGAGGCAAACACGCTGCGACACACACCCCAAAATTTTGTAGAATTATTTTGTTTTCAAATGCTCTTACAAATGCACTCATGTTTCAAATCATCTCATGCTTCCGCATATTTGTGAACTCTAATTTGTCTATTTTAAAGACTTTGAAAATGATTTTAATTTTGTAAACTTGGGATCTTAACTTTTCCACCATTTGTAACGTGGTCTTATGTTAATTATCTTAATCTAATCTCCTTATTAATTGAGATTTGGAGTTAATCATGATTTGGAAGGAGGAGGATATTACACATGTGCCACCTATTGGGCCTAATGAGAGCATATTACATGATAATTTGGTTTAATACACAAACTCCCAACTATACACAAAGAGTTAGAGTGATTACGTTCACTCCTTGCAAGTAAAATTTCTCAAACATGCAAATGACCATCCTCTATAGTGTCAACACCATATTCTACACAACATAAAATGCTAATCATCATTAATACACTATAATTATGACCAATCGTAATTCTTAAACAATAATTACACACTAATCTTAGGGTTAGGTTAATTAATCTCCTTAACCCAAACACTTCCCATAAACTTCCATCATCATAGTTAGCCTCATTAATTCTCATTACACTCCTTATTCACAGATTTAACCTCTAAATTTGAAAATCATCATCCAAGTGTCACTTCTAAGTCTAGTTTTATGGATTTAATCATTTTATAGCCACAAACAACATCAAAACTACCTAAACAACCTTCATTTAATCTCAAACAACATCTTAAATTTGACTTTGAGTGCTGGGTACCTATAAAAATGGAGCCGTAACAATAAACACTGATTAAACCCTTGAAAAGAGGATAGTAGAAGATAGAATGAAGATTAAGCTTACCTTAGTTATTTTGCACCTAAGAACATGCCTTAGGGTTGGAGCTTTGAAATCATAGTAGAGTTCTAGAAAAATTTCCTAGAAACCCTCCAACTCTCCCTCTCTCACATCTGTCAGGATAACAAATAGATATATCAAATTTTTGTACCATGCACCGTGACAAGCACACTACGCTCCATAGCACATAACACAGAAACATTGCACTTCAATTACAGCCCACTAGTTGGACTCAATCCATCCTAATACCTAAATTTAACCCTATCTAACCTCCATGCATGTCTTTAGGCCCATTTCAACCCATGATTAAATGCTGAAACTACCAATAAACCTCAATTATCCTCAGACACAACTTATTTCCCAAGTCAAACCTCAATTATAAATTTTCTCTATTTAATTTCCTCAATAATTCCACAAATTAGTTCCTAATAAAAAATATGATGCTACAAGAGCCGTTTGAATTACTTGACCAGATCAATTTATCAATGTTGCATAGAGGCAAAGGAATTTTCAAGATCCCTTGAGCAATATTACTACTATATAATTGAGAAATTAAAGGTCTATTCCAAGAGATTGATGACAAAGCTGAGGGACTAGGAATTAGCAAATCAAAGACCATCTTAACATTGTGTCCATGGGAAAGACCGATGTTGACCGGCTTCCACCAAAGCTCATAATCAATAGGAATACCAGAACCATTACCTACCTACCACTTTAAATGGAATAGTATAATGTTCTTAGACTCTAAGATGCATTTCCAAAACCAAGAAGAGTTATAAGGTTTCTTAAGCTTAAATTGACCAGGAGAGTCAACGTACTTAATCTTCAATGTATTACCAAGCACAGAATCTTGCTTAGAAGGCAAAATTCTCCAAATTTGCTTAGCAAGCAATGCCATATTGATCTTATGAGTATCTCTAATGCCAAGACCTTCATTTTACATAGGAGTGAAAAGATCTCTTTTGGCAAGATGAATTTTCTTCTTGTCTTTGTCAAAACCCCAAACAAAAATCAGATAATTTGGCATCGATTAAATTGTAATTTTTTTTTTTTTTGGCAACTTGAAACAAGAAAGAGGATAAATATTTGATGCTGATTCTTCTTTTTTGAACAAACATTTGGTTGAGTGTTGCAGCCGATGAAAAACTATATTTTTAAATTTTTTATTAAAATATTAATATGTTTATATTTATAAATCAATTTTTTACATTTACGAGTCAAGTTTCTTAGATTTATGAGTGAATCTCCATAATTTTTGCATTAGTTATTTAAAATTTACAAATTGATTGATTTACCAGTCAATTTCTTATATTTACATATTCCTCCAGAAATTATGAGCCAACTGTCAAAATTTACAACATAAAAACTATGAAAATTTACTTGTAAATATAAGATATTTTAGTTGTAAATATAAAAAATTGACTTATAAACATAAAAAACATTAATTTTTTAATTACAAAACTTTGGAAAAATATAATTTTCAATTTAAAATCAAATCAAGTTGATTCCAGGTATGGAATATTGGAAACTAAAATAACTACCCGTAGGCAAAATTGAATCCACGAATTTATCATAAATCTTATTGGATCAAGAGAGTATGACATCAAACATGCCAGTTTATTGTAGATTCATTCCACTTGCCCTTATTATTTCATCTTATAATTAGTTCAAAATAGACGCTACTGTGCTGCTTTGCTGCTAGATGCTTCAGAACTTGATAATACAGAAGCTCTGTAGCTGGCGGGAACAAGCCTTCCCATATCAATAAAAGTCATAATCTGCTTCTCATGTGAAGGTAGTTCTTCCCCCAAGCTTGGAGAAATGTTGCTCCTGGAAGTCTGTAAGAATGCTACACTACGCTCCATCTCCGCTTTAAACATCTTCAGCATTCTGCACATAACCGACCCCACCTGCTGTGGATCGGAGTCGAGCTGGAAGAGGTACAAGTTCAAGGTTAAATACGATTATATTAAATAATGGATAAATTATAAGTAAACTCATTGCCAATTAAGGGCTTTGGTCTGTTTCAAGAGCTTTGCAGAAATTTTCTTGAACACCCTTATGTACAGAAGTTGCCCAATGCATCAGTCCATTAGAGGGGAATTGGCTAAACCCCACTTGGCCATTCTTCCATATCAGAAGCGTTTTTTTTTTTTTTTTTTTTGGGGGACTGGCTCACCCAGGACTGGTTAGGTATGTTTTTAAAGAGGCTGATTTTTAAGTCAGTCTGTGCAAAAAAGGAGCTAAATAGGCCAGCCAGCGGATGCTAGCTGATTTTGCCAGTACTACTCAAAATATACTTTATCTATGGGTGGTGTTAAAATTGTTTGGTCCCAAAACCAAGTACTTAACATACCTGCTCAATTTTATCAACCATTCTCTGGTGAATTTCATTCAATTCTGGCAAGTACATCTCCTTGAGCATTTGGATCTGGAAGTTGAAATGAACAGAATGGGATATGAAAACATTTGAAACCTAGAGAATTCCAATACACTCAGATCTGTTTCACTCAACTTAACATTAATGCATATAGATTGAACACGACAAATTTATGGTATTAGATAAGAGAATATAAATACTCCATGAAAGATGTTCATTTTTTCTACTATTATCTAAATTGCTCACAATAAAACAATCAAGGGGCTCTTTAGTACTTAATTTTTCAGTTTATTTGAATATTTTCTGTTGTTCCTGCCAACTTCATTGAGAAGATAGAAGTGATAAAAAATGGCGTATTTACCCTTTGGTATGCTTCTTGGGATTGCCCTTCAGAGTTTATTTGGTTTTCATGAGACTGCACATGAGTAGGTCGGGATGGTGGCAGAAGCAAGGAGTGCATAGCATGCAGCGGAACCTGTCCAAGCGGCAGTGACAATATCCATGGTCTACGTTTATTTACAAAATTTATAATCTGCTTCTCATAGAAAAGTAATTTTTCCTTGAAGGCAGGGGAAATCTTACTCCTGGAAATCTGTAGGAACGGTATAAAATCCTCAAGCATTGCTTTAAGTATCTTCAGCTTTTCATGCTTGTCTGCTGACTCTGCTTGTTGTGGATGGGAGTCGAGCTGATCGAGTGATATAGATACAACGACAAATATGGTTATATTGACAAGCTATAAGCAAAGTCATTGGCATATAAATCATCTTCAACTTGGAAAGCAAATCAAGCTGACAGACAGACATGTAGAAACAAGGCTAAATACAATTACGTGAATTAAGTTTTAAGCAAACTCAAAGAAAGTGGCAATGTAACACGCACATACACTGCCACTTGTGCAAACATAGGGGATTATGGGGATTGGGGAGAGTTATAGAAATGGAGAGAAGAAAAGGAGTAATACAGGACAGGGAGGTGGGGGAGTAACTATCTGAGCAAGGCATTAATATTTCATTCTTCCAAAAAGAGTTCACTCACGTGAGCTGTTATAAGCTATTTATAGAGTAAGATTTCCTTCCCGTGAAGGAAAAATAAAGCAGAAGCGAATAACATTAAAATAACATTTAGTCAATTGCCAAAATAACACAAAACAAAAGGCATAATACAAAACTAGTTTTTTCTTATCTTTCCCAATCTTCCGTCATTTCTGAGCAAACTGATGTATTACACACTCACACACACTGCCACTGAGGCGAATAGAGGGGTTTATGGGGAGAGTTAGAGAAATAGAGAGAGGGGGGGGGACAGAACAAAGATGATGGGGTAGAGGAGAGACAGAACAAAGGAGGACAGGGAGTAACAATCTGAACGAGGGGGTAATATTTCATTCTTTTTTTAAAAAAAAAAAAGAAAAGGTTCCCCTAAATGTGCAGTTATAAGCTATTTGTAGTGCAAAATTTCCTTCCCATGAAGGAAATAAACCAAGCCCGCCTGCAAGGTTTCCTTCCCATGAAGGAAGCACAAGGCAAAAGTAAATAACATTCATTCACTTGCCAAAATAACGTATAAGAAAAACATGAAAACTGTATTTATTTTTCTATGCTAAATCTTTCCAAATCTTCTATTCTATAAAGTGGTTTCATGAAGCTTGGCACTTGTTAATATGGCTGAACAGCACATGTATTACTCCAGACTCACAAGTCATTTACTACGACCATAATAACAAGGAAAAGTTGAAAAAAGACAGCTTTATCCATGATGGTATTAACATTGTTAACTTTAAAAATTGAGTACCTAACGTACCTCCTGAAGTCCATATGCAATTCGTTGGTACATGTCATTCAAATCGGGCAAGTGCATTTCCTTCAACATTTGTATCTGTAAGTTGAAATAAACACAATAATAAGATGAAGATATTTGAACCTTGCAATTAGATCACTTTCACAACAAAATAAGTCGAGATTGCAAATCATTGGACTTGGCATTGAACATGGTCAGAAATGCGAGTTCTATACAATGTCCATAATTTTCATCAACAACAAAGCAACCAAGGGGCTCTTAAATACTTGCTTCTGAGTTTATTTGACAATTATATGTCGTCCTGCCAATTTTAATAAGGAAATAGAAGAGATAAAAAATGGGATGTTTACCTTTTGGAATAATTCTTCTTGCATTTTCCCTATAACAGATATTATATTTAACATATATCAGTACATATCGCTCAAATAAATACAGTAAAATAGCACTCATCATTTGCTTATCTAAAAGGAAATACAACAGATAAGGTAATTGTAAGAAACTCACAGAGATATTGTTCCACCAACTGCTAAAAATGAATTTATGAATTATGAAATATAGCAAAATCAAAGCTTCTCGCTATAGAACTTCAATAAATGTAAGTTACCAAAAAGTTACAGGCTAAAAAGCAAACCTCTGTTTAATCAATGGAATAGTATCACCAGCTTGAGTTAACAAAACATTGCACAAGCATAGTTACACATTTATCGCTTAACAAGCGAGTTGAATAAATAAAATATATAGTGCACATAATTGATATTCCCTATAGATAAATGAAAAATAAAAAAGCAGGTTTCATGTATGAAAGTCTAATCAACAGCAAGAAATCATATTTTGTCATGAACAAATGCAACTGCATGAAAAAGCAGGGCTTGCATTAATTGCAGACTATTTGCACCTACAAAAAAAAAAAAAAAAATTCAGGGTTCAGACAACTTACAAATAAAGAAAAATCAAACAACCAAAATCTGAAATAGGCTAATTACTGAATTTGATGCCATATAAATGAGCATCAAGTTTAGAGACTTACTCTCCATTGAAACTGCCTCTGTAGTTATTTGCTGCAAATAATCCAACTGAAATTGGTAATGTAAAAAAGGGACGCCTCCTTACATTTCAGTCTTCTAAATTTAAAATTCTCTACATAGGTAACATAAATGATGATAATGATTTCAAGATTTGATATATGAGCATACCTGGCTTGTTGCAGTAGCAAAAGTCTTCTGCTCAAGACGTTGTGAAAATTTTTCAAGTTCATGCTGTTCATCATCATCCAAATGGTGATATTGCCTCATTGCATTCATTCTACAAAATCAAAAGAAAACAAACAGTTCTTTTACAATTCACTAAGCTCGTGAGGAGTGAGGACATAATACAGTTCAATTTTCTCTTTTCTTTCAAGTTTTATTTTGAAAGATATGCCAAAAATATTGTGATTTAAATCACACAAATAGATACTGCCAATGACAAATTTTCCTTTCCTAAAAAATATTAATCATCACCAATATTTTCATAACAACAAATCTTATCTTACTAAGTGAGGTCCACTACATAGATTGCATAACATCATTGTATTTTATCAACAACCAAACCTTCCGGTATATTGCTAACCAAAAGGCCTCATCCAATAACCTCATAAAGATGACCACAAAAAAACTAGAAAAAATGAAAGTGACAAAAATGACTCATTAAGCTTAGCTCTCTAGAAATACAGGCAATGGGTCACTGAATATGATGAGATGAACTAAATAACACATTAGCAACAGAACTTAAAATAAAGAATAAGAACTTGTACACTGGTTAAATATCAATATATCAAAATAAAAAGAAAATATTAGACTATGAAAAACACATGTCAAAAACAAATCTTTTTCCCAAGCGAATCCTCCATAACCCAAAATTCATATTCGTCAATGCTAAATAGACAATACTGTAGTGACAATGATACAAAGATTCTTAAACAGACTTTGTTTTGCACATGTCCTGCCCACCATGGCAATAAGTACATGTAACACTGGCTTGCCAAAGTTATTGCATGGATCTAAACCACAATAATATAGCATTAATGTTCAGTATGGATCATAACTTCATGTATGAAGAACATCAGCACATAAAAGAAGTTGGAAAGATCTGAATCTAATTGTAACTCCGAATTATAAACTATCATATTCAAACAGAGAATTGAGCAATAGCATTACAACTTTGCCAATCATGCACAATGTCACCATGAGTCTGCTACAGCTCCTTCACCAATAATGAACATTTTATGATTAGTTTAATTTTATACGAACATGGGAAGTTTGATGGAAGCATTTCCATTTTACAGCAACTACATCACCAAAGCAAAAGCTCTTCAGATTGTTGAAGTAATACAAAATAGAGATTTAGGCCTACATTCGTTTGACAGATCTTTTGCGGGAGTAAGGCTCCAATTCATCTCTCCAATCAGTTTTATCCATAGCTTGTGCTCCACCTAGTGTAAGTCTCCAATTGTTGGTACCTATCAAATCTAAAATTAACTCAGATCCCAAAAGTAGATTATTGAAATCAACTCAGACTTTATAGGGAAATATATAGACGGAGATGATACAGGTAGATAAGTCAATACAAAGGAAATCGATGGAAATTATTTTTTGCCTCCGCCGATTGCCACAGAACCAAACCAGCCATCACGAATCATTATACATTTTATCTTCATACTCTAAAAACACCAATGCAATTTCGAATGCAGCCAAATCAATTATGAAATAATTTGTTACTGATATTTGATAGACAATAGAGATACGGCCTAGAATTCCATTTGATTAACCTTTTTTGCAAAGTGAATAATTCAGTCCCATTCCTCTATTCAAATTGAGCATCCCCGTAAAACCCTTCTTTAAAAATCACCTCTTTCATGAAAAAGCTGACAATTATTTCAGTGAAAAGCGACGAACTTTCTGAAAATACTAATGGATACCTAGTACGCTACCCTGCGGAAAGAAGCCGATGGAATATGATCAGATGATTGAAGCAAAGAAAGCTAGACGCAGACGCAGCGAAGCGAGGGCGAGAATGAGAGTGAGGGGTGTGACTTGTGAGAGGGTAATAATCCCGAGATGATACTTGCAGAGGCACGAACTGACACGTCCCCGCGATTTGGGTTAGGCCGAGTAAAGTAATACAAAACGCCAAAATCTTTAACTTAATTCTGTTTGATCTTCAATTCCGTTTGTTGTTTTCCGGAATGAGGTAGTCACCCGTTCAGTGCACCTGAGACTGAAGAGAGGGGGAGGATGGACATTCAAACGGAAGGGAATAAAATGGGCGGTTTGGTTCGCGTTTCGTTTCAAACGTATTTTCCCCAGAAACTCCCATGCACAGCGTTCTGTGGACAGTAAAAAATAGTGTCAAGTTCCTTTTTTTTTATACTTTTTTTTAAAAAGCATTGGATGCCTTATATTTTTAAGTGTAATAATTTTCTTCTGAATTAATTTCTCAGAAACCAAAAATGCCCTTTTATTAGTAAATCATGAACTCTCCCATTATTTGGTAATGTGGCAAAATGTGAGGCCAAGAAAATTTATTGATGGATTACCGGTGCGAATGCTCTCTCTCCTCCTCTCCCTCTTTGTGATAGCATCATCGTCCCTCCTTTAGTCTTCTCCTTTTTCTTTCCAATGCAAACCCTCTCCTCCACACCCACCTCCCCTAAATCCAATTTCATAGTCAACACTCACTTCTAACCAGAATTCTCCACCCTTCTCTCTCACAACAACAATAACAATGACCCCTCACTGCTACCTTGACTCATGGATTCAAAGGATCGCCACCCTACCAACAAGATCATCTGTGATGAGCTCGTTGCAAAGCTATCACTTACACCCATCGATTCTCTACCAAGCACCTCCCCTTTAATATTGATCCTTCATCCATAAAATCCTACTCTTTCGACGAAATTATCTATTACTCCTAATCTGGTGGACTTCTTGATGTTCAACACGACGTGGAAGTTATGAAGAGATATGATGGTGAGTATTGGTGATTTCTGTTTGACTCTCATGTAAGCAAGACCACCTAGCTCCAATGTTAAGAGCAAGAAGGAATGAGTGTTACTCGAGATTTGACATGAAACTAGTAGTTATGTAGTGGGTTAACGTCCATGAATTCTGACTACCCAAACCTTTTACTCATGAGGAGTTGCTTAACTAATGCTACTACATTTACTTGTGAGACACGATTTCCTCCGATACTAGCAACTATAGAGTGTCATACTCCTAATCTAGTCTCCTCGTGAATTGATGAAAATTAATTAGATTTGAGTCTTTTGAAAAACAAATAGAACAATCCCTTAATAATAATGAAATAATGATTACCTCTCAGTTCCAATGGTTGGTAGTTTGGCTAGTTTTTTATTCTTTTAAGCTTCCTATACGGCTATACCATATAGATTTTATCACTACTCTTCTCTTTAAGTAAACTCCTATCATAAATGATCATGCCATCAACACATAGTATGCAATTTTAATATCATCAAACTCATCATATTGTACTTATCATTCTCAGAAACATAATCATGCTCAACACATGTTTAAATTCAACATTTTCCTTTTTCATGTATACTTACACATTTGCTCACTACAACAATCATACATAAACATATATGTTTATAAATTTCCAAACTTATCAATTTTGTCATATCACATAACTCATTCATATTGCCACAATTTGCATCAAATATGGGTTTTACAAATATATCACTTTAACATATAGTTAATCAACACATTTAACATATAGTTAATTAGCACACAAATGCATAAACCAAATTTTCCTTGATTATCTCAAACTTTTGATAGGTTAAAAATTTTATCCTTTAAAATAAACAATTCCAAAGCTTTGTTAAGCTTGAATAGTGCCAATGATGGTTTGTCTACAATTTAATCACAAGGATAATTATTAATATCCTTACTAGAATAAATTTCAACACTTGAACACAACACCCTTAACTCACCAAAATCACAACCTCTCACTTTCAAACATACCCATTGTAATGACCCAAGATTTAATTAAAATTAAATTCGATGGTAAGATATATTAATGATATTATATATATATATATATATATTGGTGCAAATTTATTGTGAAGATGAGTTGGTCTAGTGGAGAGTATGCGCTCACTTTTCTAATAGGTCATGGATTTGAATCTTATGAGATCTTGAGCAGATATTTTCATCATTTTACTTCAGCCTAAAGCAAAATTTATCGAAATGCCCTCCTGTTAAAAAAATGAAAATGGAAATGAATGAATAAGAGTGGCAGATGAAAAAAAAAAAGAAAAAAGACAGAGAGCAGTTCCTTCTTCTATCTTTTTTGTCTTCATTCCTTGAAGATTTTGTTGAGGGAGAGAGAGTGAGCTTAGATTTTCCCATCTTCAATTTTCCTTTGCCTTCTTCCTCCTTCGTTAACTATCTCATCGTCGGTAACAATGGAAGGGGCTTGCAATCAACAACATAAGGTCACCTTCCTCGTTTGTTGTTCTATTTTCTCCACTCCATTTCATTGATGCTGGATATTACTTACTCTTATGAACTATATGTCTATTCCTGTTATTCATTCTGCTTAGGTCCTAACAAAACAGAAGTTTTCCAAGTTATATTTTAACTCTTAAAAACTATATTTTTGTAATTTGTTTTATACAAAAGATATATTATTAATTTGTTGATTCTAATTCTCTATTTTCTCTTTTCTATTTTGTTACCAAATTATCAAAGATAAATAGTACCATTAATTTATAATACCATTGTTAATTAGATTAGTCACTTGTTTTCTGTTTTGTGTTTATAATTATCATTCATTTTATTTATTTATGATTTTGAGATGTTATTTATTAAAAAAAATTTTGCTATTCAGATAGTAAAAGTGGACCTACTCTTCAGTAGACCTCATGAGGCTCTTAGAGACAAGAAGTATTTTGTTGCTTCAATTAGGTTGTGGATTAATGTAAATATTTATTCATTTTTTGTTCTAAAATTGTTCCACGAATCATACAGGTAGAATCCTTAATTAAATTATTTTGATTTGTATATGCATATATTGTATCGGAATAGAACTCTAAATGCTATCTAGATGTTCTTTCGGATAGGTTGTAGAGATTTCAATAAGTCCAACTTACAGCAGAGACTTTACCAAAATTTCTATGGCAAACTTAAATATTTTGTTTTTATTAACAATTGCTTAATATAAATGATGATGGTATGATAAAATTATAATTAATATATTAGATGTGTTAAAGGTTTAGGCTTATAAACTATGAGTTTTCTTGTATTCTAACTGATCACACTTCAAAAGTTTAGGGTGTGACATCCATTAGATTTATTAGCTCCTTTTAACTCACGTTATCATTAATGGATCATTAAACTACTATTAATGGTTCAAACACCTCTACTAGCCTTTATTAATGCCAATTTTTTGAATATTAATGGCACTCAAAAACTAAAAACTTGTAAAACTATTAATGTTAGGTTTAAATGACCTAAACAACTCTCATTAACTCTATTTAAGTTAATGAGTTTGGACCCATAACTTATATGAATCGAAAATCGTCATTTTAATTTAAACTCTAACTTAATTCTTCAAAAAAAAATGAAGAAGGGTGAAGGAAAGGGGTATAAGAGACTTACCTTTAATGTGTGGAGGCTCCGAACTGTCTTCAATGGTCCACAATCTCAAGCCTTAGCAGAGTGAAGCACGAGCTCTCCATTTACTCTTTGTTTCTTTTTTCCATTTTTGAATATTGCATATTTTTGACCAAGCACCATGACCCCTGAGGTCCTTCCTTCACAACTTGCCACACATGCATCGCGACAAATAAGTTGCACATCTAGCATGTGGCATAGAACTTCCTTCCTAAGATTTTCTCACCTTTTTATATCTAGATAACCCGACTTCACTTTAGACCTGAATTTAAGGCTAAAACTATAATCAAAAACATTTGTTAGATCTTTCTAACCACACACTACATCAATTTACTAAATTATCTCAATTTAGTTTAGTTAATCAGAGTTAAATTTTTTTGGATGTTATAAGAATCTCTTCCCCCTTAATTAAAATGTAATTTTTTTTCCAGTAAATGTATTGTTGATATGGTACATTAGTACTGCAGACTGATTTTCTTTTACTCCTTGTTTATATATATATATATATATTAGGGCTGCAAAAAAGACTGGACGGGACTGGACTTTAGCATAACCCGGAGTCTGGTCCTTTTCATGAAAAGGACTGGGTTATGTAACCCATAGTCTGGTCTAGTCCTGTGAAAACCCGAAAATTAACAAGATTGGACTTGGTCCATAGGACTGGGAGACTGGTCCTGTTAGTCCAATACTCACTTGGCCTTTTTTTTTTCTTTTTTTTACTCTATGATGACCAATAATCTATTTCAACTTAACAAACTCAATTAAGATAATAAAAATACTTATAATCATAATAAATTCATAATAATTTCTAACACTAAGAAAATAATATTTTAGTTACAGTCCAAACTTCAAATGATTTAAATACATAACTTCAATAAAAAATCAGAGGAAAGACCGAAAATAGACCAGAAGAAAAAAAATCAGCAAGAATAGAAGTAATAAAAATCAGCCCACAGACATGTTCCTTCAAAGTTCGAACAGATCAAGATCAGAGTGCAAAGTGCAAGGCAGGGGCTAGGGCTTTGGCGCACTGAAGAAATTGAGAATGAGAGCAAAGTTGAGTGAGTGGCTGAGATGCTAAGTGCTGTTGAGTAACAGTGTTGATGTTTTTTTTTTCGATCAGAGTGCAAAGTGCAAAGCAAGATTAAAACTTTTTTTTCTAAGGCTTATTAATTAATAATTTATAAATTAAGTTTAATTATATTAAAATAATTATATAGGACCAAACCGGACCACTTAGTCCAGATGCTTGGTCTCTAGTCTGGTCTTACCCAAAAAATCAGTCCTGTCTTTTTGATCTTTTTGGTCCTATAGGACCAGCATTTTACAAGACTGGACAGGACCGGATTTTCATGGGGCGGACCGGACCGAACGAGACCACGAGACTTTTGCACAACCCTAATATATATATAAGTATTGTAGTTACTGATGTGATCCTGAATTTTCTTCTTCTTTTTTTTTAATTTTTTATAAGGGCATACTAATTTATTTATTTTAAATACATATATTTATTAAAATTATATTAAAATTTCATATTCTTGCTGAACATATCTTTAAAATTCAATTAAATTTTAATTCCAAATCTATTTTTATAAAAAATTCTTTTATCATGCCAAATAACCCCGAGGAATATCATTTCATTGTCGAGGTAAAGTAGTGTAATGATGAGCAA